AGACGAAATTCAGACCTTCACATCTGGTGATATTTCTACAGACTAAATTCAGACCTTCAGACCTGGTGATATTTCTATAGACTAAATTCAGACTTTCAGACCTGGTGATATTTCTACAGACTAAATTTAGACTTTCAGACCTGGTGATATTTCTACAGACTAAATTCAGACCTTCAGACCTGGTGATATTTCTATAGACTAAATTCAGACTTTCAGACCTGGTGATATTTCTACAGACTAGCTTCAGACCTTCAGACCTGGTGATATTTCTACAGACTAAATTTAGACTTTCAGACCTGGTGATATTTCTACAGACTAAATTCAGACCTTCAGACCTGGTGATATTTCTACAGACTAAATCCAGACCTTCAGACCTGGTGATATTTCTACAGACTAAATTCAGACCTTCAGACCTGGTGATATTTCTACAGACTAAATTCAGACCTTCAGACCTGGTGATATTTCTACAGACTAGCTTCAGACTTTCAGTCCTGGTGATATTTCTACAGACTAAATTCAGATTTCAGATCTAGTGATATCTCTACTGACTAGCTTCAGACTTTCAGACCTGGTGATATTTCTACAGACTAAATTCAGATTTCAGACATGGTGATATTTCTACAGACTAAATTCAGATTTCAGACCTGGTGATATTTCTACAGACTAGCTTGACTTTCAAACCTAGTGATATTTCTACAGACTAGCTTCAGACTTTCAGACCTGGTGATATTTCTACAGACTAAATTCAGATTTCAGACCTGGTGATATTTCTACAGACTAGCTTCAGACCTTGTGATATTTCTACAGACTACCTGCAGTATTGAAATTATAATAAGTCAGTGCGACCTTAACAATTGATCAGCACTCAGACAAACCCTGTCGATCTTCCTCGAACAGCAGAGTGCTTGACCACATCATAACAGTTGTCTTTCTCTGATTATTGGCATAATGAAACCCCCTCCAAACCGCACTCTCAGTATATCATCATCCGCTCTAAACCGATATATTTGAATAGTCCTGATCGAATTACTATATAATCTACAGTGGGGAGCCCTCAATAACCTGGTGCCCCTTTTAAACCACAATCCGACATCTAAATAGGGTCACGAAGTTGTTAATCAATAGTTAATGTATCCATTTACAGCAGGGTCTTCTAGAATAATGAGTAAGACCTATACTTGGGAGATATGCCACATGTGTGGGTTCCCATATAATTTGGTCCAGACTAACAGTCCATTTGGTTCCAATTAGACGATAAGGATAGATATTTCAAGCTTCATGCATGTTACCTCGGTATCTATAACATGCATAGTGATAATATTCAAGGGTAAAGCATGTTTTTCTGGTAGGAGGAACATATCTTTATAGACAAACTAGATCGTTTGAACTTTACCGTGGTTGCTAAAACATCCAATTAGTAGCAGGAACATGTTGGGGTCAACGCCTGCAGGTGGTTGTGAAGAAACTAGGAGCTACAACTTTAGCTAAGATGCGTTTTGAAATAACAGGAATTTCAGGTGTCGTGAGGAATTTTACCTCGATATTTCAGCTGAAATATCACAAACCTTTCAATTCATAATGTCATACAAGAAGCTTTCTGAGGAAATGTAGCGTTTGCCCCTTGAATGAATCGAACTGTTTGAAAGTTTACTTCTTATTTCCGATATTCAGACTGTTCATAGTTGAATATTGCCCACTTCCATAATCACTAATTGAGGAGTTATCAACAGTGGCGTGTCTATGTATCACTATGAAGAAGGACCTAGCATGGGCCACAGAAATGTGAAGGGGGAACTAGCTCCACACTTTGGCGGCAAAATTTCCTAAACATCGTAACTTATAAGGCAGAATGAGTGCAGTTGCTCAAAGTACCATAGGGACTGATTTGAACCAATCACACAGGCCACACTCCTAAGGGGGCCCCCACCTCCGGAAAAAAAAGCAGGAGAGCATCTAATCTTTAGTTATGGTACCTGGTAAGTCCAAATTGTCGACCAAGTTTGAGAATTTTAAATTAAGAGCCATTCTAAGAGGTAGTTTTCCTTTAAATTGAACATCCTGATTCTATCTAGATTTTCGACAAGTAGACTGAAGAGTGTATAACAGTTTGATGCTATCTACGACCGACGTTTATTATGGAATCAGCAGTTTAAAAAGATAAGCACTAAAAACAAACCGTTACTTTGTATGTCTTTGATATGATGACTACATCGTTTATTAACTGGAAGAAGGGAAAATAATGTAGGGTATCGGTATGATATACAGAGTGATATACAGTGGCTGAAAACGACTCGTCCTTTCCTGACTAACAGAGATCGGACGCCTTCGACTTATTCACATATAGCGGATGTAAAGATCTAAAATGAAAAAAATCGGCCATTATCTACAAGATAGACCGAAACATCTGTTTATATTCCAGCTTCTGATAGCTAATTTGAAAATTGCCAAATGTCAGTGGTTGGGATAGAGGCAGATGTTTCGGATTAATTGCTAATGTGCGTTATAATGGCTTTACAGTGTAATTTAGATGAATTGATAACTTTAAGTGTTAATATCTATGTTTATACAGATTTCTAGTGTGAACTGCTTTTCAACAGCTTTGATTTTTAAAACAAGTTGCAAAACAAAGACGTCTTATTACTTAATTAAGTTATTATCTTAATGATTATTCGGAAATTCTCGACCGTTTCGATAAAACTGAATCTGTCCCGGTAATGAATGGTGATTTCGTTGTGTCGTCTTAAGCGAGACTCGTTACTATATTCAGTCGCCCAAATTTTCAGTTGCCACGCCACGCTTTAAGTCTTACTAGTATTATTTAATACCACACTGTTTGCAATTCTGATAACTTAATAATATATTAAATATATATTTCCGACGCCCTTCGAATTGCTATTATACACATCATTAAGCAATTCTGTTAGAAGATATAGTGATATGGCTTTTTGTTAAAGGTATACTATTTCTTAGAATGACCAAAAAGTTGAATTTTTAACCTTAGTTGAAGGAGCACCTTTACTATCCGTTCGACCAATCATACTTTAGTTTCAGAAACAGGAATTTGTTTAGATTTCATAATCAGTAATAGTGTTCACAGCTCTTTGTCGAAATTTGAGCCTTCAAATCCATGTGTATCCATAGTTATTTCCGTTTGAAAGTTAAAAATCCCACACGAATTTTAGGTATATATAGGTATATTTTAAGGGATAATGCGATTTTCGTGCGTTTTAGTACTTCTTAATATTAAAGCACAATAAAGACCCAAATCAATCCCCGTAAATGTCGACAGTTCCCCCTTTAAGTAATGCTTGGTAGCATGTTCCAATAATTTTTTAGTTTGATGGGTATACGGTCTTATATAGAGATCCTATTCTTTTGTCATGGCATCTGCAACTGGTAGTTACAACTAATGAATATGACTACTTGTTGACCAAGTTTGAAACTTAAAATTTTGTTAAATAACGTGCTTTTTTCACATGAATATTATTGTTGTGTGGACTATCAGTCGCTGATTATTGCCTGGAGGTGTTCTAATATGCCCTGTGTCACTTGCAACATCCACAACACTGTTAATTGTAATAAAGCATTATATTATTCTACTCACAGTAACTTAAACTTAAACTGAAGATTCTTTTCGTTTAATAAGTCAACCGCTCTAACCTAATGTAAATTTGGGTGTATTAACCATATACTTACTGTAGACCGATATCCTATGATATTTCTTTTAGAACTAGAATTTAGCCAAAATTTAAAAACTAACAATAGACTTTTAAACTCAATGAAATCTAAACTCACTTGACAAGCGGGTAATAAAAACTGCCAATTACAGTCTGAGAATTACTGTTCATTATTTTACTGAAGAAAATAAAAACCAGTGTTAAGACACAGTGTTAAATTAACAGTGTTATTTTAAGGTTTTTATTGAGATTTTATCATCAAATTTATCAGTAAAACAAAGTGTTTAGAGTTGAAAAACTTGAGTCTTCACTTGTCATTTAGATAAGGATTCATTACGATAGAATATATAGGTTTAGAGAAGGGTGTGTGTGCCAGCTCCATAAAGGCAGGAATTTAGACACAATCTTTTCTTTCTTTTTTAAAGGCACAGAGTCGTCATCCGTTTGAGCAATTGTACTTTAGTTTTTTCTTTATGATATTGTTTTGCTAAGCTAGTCAGTAATAAAGTATAAAGTTCACAGAACCTCGTCGAAACTTTAGCCTTCAAATCCATCTGAGTCTAGAACTAAATGCGTTTGATTGTTAAAATGATGACTCGTCATTGCTGTCATTGTTGTCTACGTCATCATCTAACTGCACCGGTTCACATAACATTTAAACATTTGGCGTAGATTAGAATCCAAGGCTATTTGCATTACGCCAATGTTTCAATGTCTTAACAAATAGTAAGTCCGCTTGATGAACTGACCGAAGGCACGAGTTGCACCCCTCATTTAATTATTATTCATTGTTTTTCCAAGGCTGAAATGTGCAGATAACGTTGTTATAACTATTTTAATTATCTTCTTACCCTAAGGAAACGTCGTAAGCGAAATAGTTAGCCTGATAATGAACATATATATTATTACCTATGGAGTAATGTTGGTTTTTATCAACCAGCAATCAGGTATTTATGACAATCAAGACAACAAAAGCCCCAGGAAAAATGAATTTATGGATAAAAAGAGAATGTTTATTATTCTCATTCATTTAGATACATCATGGTCGGACTAAACAAGCTGCCCTTGTGGTGGGCTACAGTGATATTAATACTACTGAATCGGGTTTCTCTGTCAAATTCTGCTACCAGCCCGACTTCAGCTACAAGTGCAACTTCGGCAACATCCGCTACCAGTGCGACCTCGGCAACATCAGCTACCAGTGCGACCTCGGCAACATCAGCTACCAGTGCGACCTCAGCAACATCAGCTACAAGCGCAACCTCTGCTAATCCATATGCTGAATGTAAAGATACGTGTTCATCAAGTGATAGTGGAGACTTTCCGCATTGTGGAGATTGTACCAAGTTTGTTCAATGCACCAATTCTCAACGATACATTTTTGACTGTCCTACAGGATTAATATTTGATGCAGCCTATAGAAAATGTTCTTATGCCTATGAGTCCTATTGCGGAACATCAACTACAGTGTACACTGGCCCCACGAGTGCTACAAGTGCTACAAGTGCTGTTTCTATAACCAGTGAACAACCAACTCCTAATCCGTATGAAAACTGTATTTTTGTCAGTAAATGCACTGATGTTTACACCTTGCCAGGTAATTACCCAAATTGTGCAAGTTGTAATGGATACGTTTCTTGTGTAGGAGGACAGGGATATGAGCGTTCTTGTCCGTCTGATCAAGGCTTTGATTATCTGACTCATACACTGCAGATGCCCAATGTGCTACGTCAGCAACTTCTGCTACATCTGCAACGTCTGCAACATCAGCTACTAGTGTGACATCAGCAACATCAGCAACATCAGCGACAAGTGCAACATCGGCGACTTCTGCGACATCAGCTACAACAAGCGCAACATCTGCTACGTCTGCAACATCAGCTACTAGTGCGACATCAGCAACATCTGCGACAAGCGCGACATCTGCTACTAGTGCGACATCAGCAACATCAGCTACAAGCGCCACATCGGCTACCTCAGCAACATCAGCAACAAGTGTAACATCTGCGACATCAGCTACAAGCGCAACATCAGCTACAAGCGCAACATCAGCTACAAGTGCAACATCGGCGACATCAGCTACAAGCGCAACATCAGCTACAAGTGCAACATCAGCTACAAGCGCGACATCGGCTACCTCGGCAACATCAGCTACAAGCGCAACATCGGCAACATCAGCTACAAGCGACACATCGGCTACCTCAGCAACATCAGCAACAAGTGCAACATCAGCTACATCAGCTACAAGCGCAACATCAGCTACAAGCGCTACATCAGCTACAAGTGCAACATCAGCGACATCAGCTACAAGCGCAACCTCAGCCACAAGTGCAACATCAGCGACATCAGCTACAAGCGCAACCTCAGCTACAAGTGCAACATCAGCGACATCAGCTACAAGCGCAACCTCAGCAACATCAGCTACAAGTGCAACTTCAGCTACAAGCGCAACATCAGCTACAAGTGCAACCTCGGCTACCTCAGCAACATCAGCTACCAGTGCAACCTCTGCAACTTCGGCTACAAGTGCGACCTCAGCAACATCAGCTACAAGTGCGACCTCAGCAACATCAGCTACAAGCGCAACATCAGCGACAAGTGCAACCTCAGCTACTTCTGCAACATCAGCTACTTCTGCAACATCAGCTACAAGCGCAACTTCAGCAACATCAGCTACAAGTGCAACTTCAGCTACAAGCGCAACATCAGCTACAAGTGCAACCTCGGCTACCTCAGCAACATCAGCTACTAGTGCGACCTCTGCAACATCGGCTACGTCTGCGACATCAGCTACTAGTGCAACCTCAGCAACATCAGCGACAAGTGCAACATCTGCCACCTCTGCAACATCGGTTACCAGTGCGACCTCAGCAACATCTGCCACAAGTGCAACATCAGCTACAAGTGCAACATCGGCTACGTCTGCGACATCAGCTACTAGTGCGACCTCAGCAACATCTGCTACAAGTGCTACATCGGCAACATCAGCTACTAGTGCTACATCAGCAACATCAGCTACAAGTGCTACATCAGCAACATCAGCGACAAGTGCAACATCTGCTACTTCCGTGACATCAGCTACTAGTGCGACATCACCTACGTCTGCGACAAGTGCAACATCGGCAACATCTGCAACATCAGCAACATCAGCTACTAGTGCAACATCAGCAACATCAGCGACTAGTGCAACATCTGCTACCTCTGCAACATCGGCTACTAGTCCAACCTCGGCAACATCAGCTACAAGTGCGACATCGGCAACATCAGCTACAAGTGCGACATCTGCTACAAGTGCAACCTCTGCTACCTCTGCAACATCGGCTACTAGTGCAACCTCAGAAACATCGGTTACATCTGCAACCTCGGCAACATCGGCTACTTCTGCGACATCAGCAACTAGTGCGACCTCCGCAACATCTGCGACAAGTGCAACATCGGCTACTAGTGCAACATCAGCTACTAGTGCGACCTCAGCAACGTCAGCTACAAGCGCAACATCAGCGACATCGGCTACGTCTGCTACATCAGCAACTAGTGCGACCTCTGCAACATCAGCTACAAGTGCAACATCTGCTACTTCTGCAACATCGGCTACTAGTGCAACTTCTGCAACATCTGTGACTAGTGCGACCTCAGCTACATCAGCGACTTCAGCCACAAGTGCAACATCGGCTACTAGTGCAACCTCAGCAACATCGGCTACGTCTGCGACATCAGCAACTAGTGCGACTTCAGCTACATCAGCGACTTCAGCCACAAGTGCAACATCGGCTACTAGTGCAACCTCAGCAACATCGCCTACGTCTGCGACATCAGCAACTAGTGCGACCTCAGCAACATCTGCGACAAGTGCAACATCAGCTACTAGTGCGACCTCAGAAACATCGGCTACTAGTGCAACATCAGCGACATCGGCTACGTCTGCTACATCAGAAACAAGTGCCACATCAGCTACTAGTGCGACCTCAGCAACATCAGCGACAAGTGCAACATCTGCAACATCAGCTACGTCTGCTACATCAGAAACAAGTGCGACCTCAGCAACATCAGCAACGAGTGCGACATCTGCAACATCAGCTACGTCTGCTACATCAGAAACAAGTGCGACCTCAGCAACATCAGCAACGAGTGCGACATCAGCTACTAGTGCGACCTCAGCAACATCAGCGACAAGTGCAACATCTGCAACATCAGCTACGTCTGCTACATCAGAAACAAGTGCGACCTCAGCAACATCAGCAACGAGTGCGACATCTGCAACATCAGCTACGTCTGCTACATCAGCTACTAGTGCGACCTCAGCAACATCAGCAACGAGTGCGACATCAGCTACTAGTGCAACCTCAGCAACATCAGCTACTAGTGCAACCTCAGCGACATCAGCTACTAGTGCAACCTCAGCAACATCAGCTACTAGTGCAACCTCAGCGACATCAGCTACTAGTGCAACCTCAGCAACATCAGCGACAAGTGCAACATCTGCAACTTCAGCTACTAGTGCAACATCTGCAACATCAGCTACTAGTGCAACCTCAGCAACATCAGCGACCAGTGCAACATCGGCAACATCAGCAACGAGTGCTACATCAGCAACATCAGCTACAAGTGCAACATCGGCTACTAGTGCAACATCGGCTACTAGTGCAACCTCAGCAACATCAGCGACCAGTGCAACATCGGCTACTAGTGCAACCTCAGCAACATCAGCGACAAGCGCGACATCTGCTACAAGTGCTACCTCCGCTACCTCTGCGACATCAGCTACAAGTATGACTAGTCCAACTTATATCTGGGATGAATGCACGACGTCTTGTAGTGGTAAACCGTATGGTTTGTATGCACATTGCGGAGATTGCTCTAAATTTGTCAAATGCTACCTGGGTACTCTGTCCACGTTCGACTGCTTGCCGAATTTGTATTATAACGCTGCAGTAGGACAATGTGACTATGTCCAGAACGCAGTATGTAGAACTTCTCCCTACACGGGACCCACATCTGCAACAAGCCCGACTTCACCGTCTGGACTTAATCCATTGTGTATCACAAGCTGTGAGGGTAAGAACACTGGAAATCATCCCGACTGTGATGATTGTACCCAGTATTTTACATGTGTAGGTAACACCAAATTTACAATGCCATGTCCATCAGGTACCAACTACGATACTAGTACTGGAGCCTGTGCTTTCCCTGCTGACGCCACGTGTGAAACTTGGTAAGGTTCTTCGATTGGATTCAAACCTTACATGGTCGATTGCACAAGAAAGCATCCCACTTATTTTTTTAACGCCTAAATTATGTTTTTGAAATCTTATATTTTTCTATCAATTTTTAATATAGATATTGCAATAATAAAACATATCAATTGATATAGAAACAGCACTGTTAAAATAGTGCTCAATACATCAATAGAAATACCACTGTTAAAATAGTGTTCAATACATCAATTGTAGAGCGATATAGAAATACCACTGTTAATATAGTGCCCAATACATCAATTGAAGAGCGATATAGAAATACCACTGTTAAAATAGTGCTCAATACATCTATTGTAGAGAGATATAGAAATACCACTGTTAAAATAGTGCCCAATACCTCAATTGTAAAGCGATATAGAAATTCCACTGTTAATATAGTGCTCAATATATCAATTGTAGATGAATATAGAAATACCAGTGTTAAAATAGTGCTCAATACATCAATTGTAGAGTGATATAGAAATACCACTGTTAAAATAGTACTCAACACATCAATTGTAGAACGATATAGAAATACTACTGTTAAAATAGTACTCAATACATCAATTGTAGAGTGATATAGAAATACCACTGTTAAAATAGTGCTCAATACATCAATTGTAGAATGATATAGAAATACCATTGTTAAAATGGTGCTCAATACATCAATTGTAGAGAGATATAGAAATACCACTGTTAAAATAGTGTTCAATACATCAATTATAGAGCAATATAGAAACAGCACTGTTAAAATAGTGCTCAATATATCAATTGTAAAGCGATATAGAAATACCACTGTTAATATAGTGCTCAATATATCAATTGTAGATGAATATAGAAATACCAGTGTTAAAATAGTGCTCAATACATCAATTGTAGAGTGATATAGAAATACCACTGTTAAAATAGTGCTCAATACATCAAAAGAAATACCACTGTTAAAATAGTTCTCAACACATCAATTGTAGAGCGATATAGAAATAGCACTGTTAAAATAGTGTTCAATACATCAATTGTAAAGCGATATAGAAATACCACTGTTAAAATAGTGCTTAATACATCAATTGTAGAGCGATATAGAAATACCACTGTTAAAATAGTACTCAATACATCAATTATATAGTGATATAGAAATACCACTGTTAAAATAGTACTCAATACATCAATTATATAGTGATATAGAAATACCACTGTTAAAATAGTACTCAATACATCAATTATATAGTGATATAGAAATACCACTGTTAAAATAGTACTCAATACATCAATTATATAGTGATATAGAAATACCACTGTTAAAATAGTTCTCAATACATCAATTGTAGAGTGATATAGAAATACCACTGTTAAAATAGTGCTCAATACATCAATTGTAGAGCGATATAGAAATATCACTGTTAAAATAGTGCCCAATACATCAATTGTAGAGTGATATAGAAATATCACTGTTAAAATAGTGCTCAATACATCAATTGTAGAGCGATATAGAAATATCACTGTTAAAATAGTGCCCAATACATCAATTGTAGAGCGATATAGAAATACCACTGTTAAAATAGTTCTCAATACATCAATTGTAGAGCGATATAGAAATACCACTGTTAAAATAGTACTCAATACATCAATTATAGAGTGATATAGAAATACCACTGTTAATTTAGTGATCAATATATCAATTGTAGAGCGATATAGAAATACCACTGTTAAAATAGTGCTCAATACATCAATTATAGAGCGATATAGAAATACTACTGTTAAAATAGTGCTCAATACATCAATTGTAGAGCTATATAGAAATACCACTGTTAAAATAGTGCTCAATACACCAATTGTAGAGCTATATAGAAATACCACTGTTAAAATAGTGCTCAATACACCAATTATAGAGCGATATAGAAATACCACTGTTAAAATAGTACTCAATACATCAATTATAGAGCGATATAGAAATAAAACTTGAATCATGTTGTATGTTTTAATATTTCTAATATAGAATACTGATATTATGTATTCAGAAATTACTTGTAAATGAATATTGTATAGTGTATAGTGTATGAATTGAAATAAAATGTAGTTTTGAAGTCTATTGTATACTCGTTAGCCCGTTAAAACTATCATGAGATGGTTATGATGGTTTTATACGCAACTAAATTCCTTTACAGCCGGCAACATTTAGGACTCATCTCCTCTTTGATTTTCTGTCCTCTTCTCGCACTTAGTGCAGTGAAATTTGCTCAGGCGACCACCTGCAATGTGCGACCTCACTTAAAGATGGGTTCCCTTATTTTTATTTATGAAAATGCTTATGTTCATATGAATAGAAAGTAGAGGTGCTCTAATGACCAGTTTGTCTCACATGTCAATAATTAATTCATAATTAGCTAAATTAGAAGTTAATTACCAGCAGAATTCCATTTAGTGACCGATCAAGAATGGTCAAAAAGTATTTTTTTGTTTATCCAAATTGTACATACAAGGACATTTATGATTGGTTAAAATTTCCTAATTATAAGCAATAAAAACATAATGATATGATTAAGAATACATGATAATTCATTAGAAACACCAATTGGTTAATTTGACACTAAAAAATAAGGAAACCCATCTTTAAGTTTCCTTTTTCAACATAATTAACGACTCTATCAGTCAGTTGTACATCTCAATAAAATCTGTTCGATGTTGTGAATATGGCTCTGTGCTAAACATCGTCCTTTTTATATCAATAAACATTATTAGTTATGTGACCTTACAGAAGCTGATGGCCTGTAAGATAGGCGTTTCACAGTTTCATAAGATGAATATTCCATGTGTCGCAAACAACGTCCAACACAATATTAATACCGTTAATGGTGCTTTACTCATAACTTAAATCGAATTTACTACCCTTTTCTCTGATAAGTCAGGCACTTTAATAAATTATTTATTGCAGACTGGGATGTATTAAACAATCAGGCCCCCGTTTTACTAAGGTGCGTAAAAGTCTATCTGAAACGAGGGCCTGGATTTTTGTAATGGAAAAGAACCCCAAGAACTTAGCCAAAAAATTAAAACTAATTATAGACTTTAAAACCACTGACATCTAAACTCACTTGACAAGCGGGTAATAAAAACTGCCAATTACAGCCTGAGAATTACTGTTCATTATTTTACTGAAGAAAATAAAAACCAGTGTTAAGACACAGTGTTAAATTAACAGTGTTATTTTAAGGTTTTTATTGAGATTTTATCATCAAATTTATCAGTAAAACAAAGTGTTTAGAGTTGAAAAACTTGAGTCTTCACTTGTCATTTAGATAAGGATTCATTACGATAGAATATATAGGTTTAAAGTAGGGTGTGTGTCAGTTCCATAAAGGCAGGAATTTAGACTTTTCACCCATTGTTCAAGAACACATGGGTTTTGTTAACATTGTAAAGTCGATTTTGATATTACTATTAAATATACTATCAAATCGTTCGTATTTAAATTCATTTGGTAATAAAATGTTTAAAAACAACCTAACAATGATTTAACATTCAAAAATATACCCTGGAAATCGACACACATTTAAACTGTAAAATATCTGAAAACGAACTTGTGTCGTGCAGAGTAAAACACCATACTGGTGTAAGACGGACCCGTAAAATTGCTCACAGACGCGATATAAATTAGATGCAGAGTTGACAAACCTTGTCGAATTAAATAGAAGCATATACTCTCTTGCATTCGCCAATTATATACGACCGATGTTAGCATGTTTTGTCTCAGATCCTGAAAAGCACGGTGCCATAAGTTGCCTCAGATGATGACGATATCCACCTCGGTTATTATTGTAAAAAGCTACACACCACACATCTTTTTGTATCAGATTCTGAACAGAAATAGTTTGCTGATTAACCTGTTTCGATATCGACAAAATGAAATAAAATGAAAGGAGTGTTATGTCTTACTTTTCTGCACCTTATCGGCCTAAGGAAGACCGGGAAACACCATGCAGGGTACAATGAAGGAAATTTTGCCAGGACCGCGGCATTAGCCTACTCCTTTTCGATTTCTAACTGGGGGTCTTTAACGTGCTCAGCCTGTAGCACACAGAGATTCAGTTTATCGTCCCATCCGAACGACTAGACGCTTTTTCTATTTTAGCCCATCCAACCAGCATTGCTGAAACCGGGTTGAAAAATCTGTGGTTGCAGGTGCTCTCGAAGATTGACTGGCTCTATCCTAAAGGAAATAATAATGTTATATTGTGAATATCTAGCCACTAGACGTCTTATAATTTCATATGATAAAATATAATGAAATGTTGTATTTAATCAGACGTTATCATAGTTTAATGAGATATGTTTATTATATAAAATAATAAGATGAATAAGAAGTTGGCAGTGGTTGTTATTGACAGAGATTACAAAATGATGCTTCTTGGAGATTAAAAATTAATGCCTCTTTCAGCTTTAAACAAAGTTTGTTCACCTTCTGTTGTGAAAATGGCAAGACTTTTTCCGGGAAATACAAATGAGACAATCAGTTCGCGTACAATTCAATAAATAAGGAAGAAATAATATCGGTCGGTTTATTTTATTATTTATTTTATGCGAGATCGAAAATTTGGAAATTATACACGAACCATTCTTTCATATCATATTGAAAAGCGGTATCTATAGCAGTTAGTGCAGAAAATATCTTGTTGAATATATCCCATCAAGCACTTTTTTGGAATTATGTGTATATCATTGAAAGATTTTTATTTTCCCTCAAAGAGAAGAAATAGTCAGTAAAGATGAAGAAAATATTAAACGAAATATAGTAAAATTGTGTATAACCATCTAAAAGTGATTGTAAATTTATTATGTGTATCGGAGACACTGATAGTATCAATTTGCATCATTTCAATTTTCAGTCAGACATCTGTAGTTCCTGCAATTCTACAAAAACTAAGTGTTTGATGACGTCACTACTCGCAAAATATATTTTATGACATATTGCTCTT